AAATTATTAATTTTCATAAAAAAATTCTTGAGTGTTTGAAATGACAGTAAAACACAATCCACCCTGTATAAAAACAAAATAAAATTTTTAAACAAAACTTTTTTATCGATTCTGGACAAAACTCAAAATAACTATTTTTGTAAGAAAAAAAGAATTCGACGAATTATTTTATTTATTTATTTATTGTTTGAGTTGACGATAAAACTGATTCACCCTGTATAAAAACAGTATTTTTAAACATAAAACTTTATTTTACACAAACTTGTAGAATTTTTGAGTCGTCGGAAAAACATGACTCAACTTATATAAAACAACTAAATTTTTCTTTTAAAGTTAGATCATTTTTTTTTAATCTTTTAAAAAAAAACAAAAGAAATATTTACAAAAAATAACAGAAAAAAGATGTAATTTCGCGTAAACTATATTTTTTATTTTATTTTAATTTTTGTCTCAATTTCACATTAGACGAAAAAATCGAGTTTTTTACTATTTTAACAGAATCATCGGTCTTGAATGAGGTGGCTTTTCTTTTCTGATTCAACTTTTTGACAGTTGACAGAAGAAACGGCCATTTTTAATAAAAACTAAACACCGCCCTCTGGCACACAAGAGTCGCACTATACGGTCACGTGACCACACAGACTTGATAAGAAATTAATCAGCTGATACTACTGATAAGGGTTTTTGTGAGTTGCAACACCGGTTTTGTGACACTATTTGTACGAAAAAGCACCACAAAAAACACGCAATTATTTTATTGTTGATTTTTTGTTACAAAAAATCGGACAAGCGCCCTCTACTGACACCTCACCCAAGTGTGAAAAACAGGGGACTTTTTTCACTTTGTTTGATTCAAACAACTAAAAAATTGTTTTTTGCCTGATTAATACATTGTTTGTTAAATAATTAATTGCAAATTGTTTCAAAATTGCAAAAAACACGAAAGTGAAGAGTTTTATTTGAACTTGAAGCGCCCTCTACTGCCACTTTACCAAAGTTTTTGACATTTTGACAATTCACAAAAACAATTGTTTTTCCCTTGTCAGTGTCTTTTTGGGTTTTGGAGACTTTTAAAATCGTAAAATAGGATGTAAATTTGTTTTAAATCGTTAAATTGTCAAAATAGTGGTAGTGAGACTCGTGACAATGGCTGGAATAAAAAGTAAGTAATTGCGAAATTGATTATTTTTCACGATTTAACCGAGAAATTTCACTAATTTGGCTTGTTTTATGTTCTTCTGTGTCTCCCCCGAGCAGCGTGAGTATTGATAGCCCCCTTGTTAGCCCGTGCTAATTTTTGTGTTTCCAGTTTGGTAACACTGGCCTTCACCGGCTCCATTGGTATGACTATGGTCATCTTGGCCTGCAGCCTCCCCCAATACAAGTGAGTGCGTTTGAATTTAGCCCCCATTTCACCCCCAAATTCCAGGTTATGGTGGCCTTTCTTCGTGGTTTTGTTCTACGTGTTGGCCCCCATCCCGACGCTCCTCGCAAGGAGGTACACAGAGCATCAAGGGTCGAGTAATTCGTGTCTCGAGACTGCGATTTTTATCACAATGGGGCTCATTGTGAGCGCCTTTGCCCTGCCTATTGTCCTAGCAAGGGTGGCTGTTATCCAATGGGGGGCTTGCTACTTGACACTGGCCGGGAATTTTGTCATTTTTGCCACGCTTTTGGGGTTCTTTCTCACGTTTGATCAAGACGATTCTGATTATAATATGTGGTAGTGGAATAAACACAAAATGTTGTACTCATAACTATTTTACTTATTTAATATGTATGTAAGCTTAATATTTTGTAAAGCTAATAAATAGATTTCCCCAATAAAGCGTTTCATTGATAAAATATAGGAAAGGAAACCGAAACGAAGGATACATTTGAATTTGCCGCCAATTAGAGCAAAAAATCTGGGGATTTTCGGGTTTTTTCCCTGTTTTATTTAAACGTTTAAAAAATTGATTTTTGGGTTTCTTGAGACAAAAAGTGTTATTGGTTAATACATTCCTGTGTAAATTAATTAGTCTCAATTTGCATAAAAACTAGTAAAATAACACCAAAATAAGAATTTGATTTGAATTTCCCGCCAACAAAATAGGGTTATTTCAAGGTTAAAGTTAATTTTGTAATTAAAATTTGTAGAACTTTTAAATTTTCTTATAAATAATTTTGGGGCTTTAGGTAACACAATTTTTATTTTTTAAACTTTGATAACAGAATTTGATAAAAAATCTAGGGACTTTTTCGTGTTTTTCACGTTTTTTATCCCAACGTCTAAAAAAATTAATTTTTAGGCTTCTTAAAGTTGGTGTTGTGACAAAAAGTGTTTAATCATCTTGTAAATATTGATTAGTACACTCCTGTGTAAATAATTAGTGGTAATTTGCATAAAAATTAATAAAATAACACCAAAACAAGAATTTTATTTGATTTTCCCGCTAACAAAATAGGGTTATTTCAAGGTTAAAGTCTAATTTTGTATTTAAAATTGGTAGAGATTTTAATTTTTTTTATAAACAGTTGACAATATTTAATTTTCGGGCTTAAAGTTTAATAAAGTAACACAATTTTTATTTTTTAGGCCTCGATACCAGAATTTGCTAAAAAATCTGGGGACTTTTTCGTATTTTTCCCCTATTTTATTCAAACGTTTAAAAAATTTATTTTTGGGTTTCTTGAAGTTGATGTTGTGACAAAAAGTGTTTAATTATCTTGTAAATATTGATTAATACATTACTGTGTAAATAATTAGTAGCAATTTGCATAAAAATTAATAAAATAACACGAAAACAAGAATTTTATTTGAATTTCCCGCTAACAAAATAAATTTGATTTTTTTATGAATAGTTAAAAATAGGTAATTTTGAGGGTTTAAGATTATTATAGTGACTCAATTTTTATTTTTTGGGTCTTAAAAACAAAATTTGATAAAAAGTGTGGGAATTTTTTTTGTATTTTCCCCTATTTTATTTCAATATATCTAAAAAAAAATATTTTCGAGTTTGTTAAAGCTGATAATGAAACAAAAACTGTTTAGTTGTTTTGTAAATATTAATTATCTACCTTTTGTAAGTAATTAGTGTTAAATTGCATAAATATTACTAAAATAGTTCTAAAACAGGAATTTTATTTGAATTTCGCGGTAACAAAATAGGGTTATTTGAATGTTATACATAATAATTTAATTTCGTAATCAAGACTTGTAGTAATTTTAAATTTAAAAAATAAATAATTTTGAAGCTTTAAGTTTATTATAGTAACACAATTTGATAAAAATCTGGTGACTTTTTGTATGATTTGATTTATTTGGATTTTTGAAGCTAATGTTAAGACAAAAAGAGTTAAATTGCTCTGTAAATATTAATTACTACACTCTTTTGTATATAATTAGTAGCAAATTGCATAAAAATAGCACTAAAACAAGAATATTATTTAAATTTCCCGCAACGAATCTAGGGTTATTTCAAGATTAAAAAAGCTAACTTTTGTAAAAAAATTACACTTGCCCATTGTCACATCAAGATATTTAATATTTGGAGCATCAGTTTTATCACGACTAATTATTTGTAGTTAATAATGAGTGAAATTGTGTAAAAATCTGGTGACTTTTTTGTGTTGTTTTCATGTTGGCGCCCCGTCCCCACGCCCTCTATCCGCACCTTCCCTAATGTCAAACTCCACACACAGATGGCAACATGTCAAATCACGTGAAACCCCACTAAAGATCAGCTGTCTTCAGGGGAGTGGTTGTTTGCAAGGGTAGTTTTCCCATTTGGTGCGTTGTAAACACCGTAAGTAAATACCATTAGCCCCCTTGCACAAATATCCCCCAATTTCATTAATTTTTCCTTGTGTCATCAATACACCGAAGGCCACAGCACCCTTAATGAATATTTAAGCGTAACGCCGCCACCATTGCCACCCCTTATACCCCCCCTGCGTCACACCGCCTCATTCGTGCGGCGGCTTCACGCGGGGTGACCCACATTCCGCCCCCAAACTCCCCCTTGTGACCCCCAGGGGCCGTTTGGGGCTCCCCCGGGGCAAATCTCTTAATTTGTGCCCCGAAAACCGCCCCCGAGTGTCTCAAACCCGTCCCAAGTTGCTTAATTGAAGTCACATGATCCGGTTCCATAATGCGTTTAAGGGCTATTTAGTGAAATTGAGTTTAGTTTTTCAGTGGTAAAAATTTGAGGTTGGCACAAATGACGGAATATTGGCTCATTTCCGCCCCCGGCGACAAGACATGTCAACAAACCTGGGAGACCATGAATAACCTCACCAGCAAGCAAAATAACTTGTCGGTGAATTACAAGTTTCATATTCCCGACTTGAAGGTGAGTTTGGTGATTTTTTGGGGTTTTTTGCCTGATGGTGGTTTTAGGTTGGTACTCTGGACCAGTTGGTGGGCCTGTCGGACGATTTGGGTAAACTGGATGCGTTCGTTGAACAGGTCACGCGGAAAGTGTCGAGTTATTTGGGGGAAGTACTCGAGGATCAACGCGACAAATTACAGGAGAATTTGATGGCGAATAATAGTAGGTTATGTTTTTGACGGGAATGACGTCATACGCATGTTAATGATTTGTATATATCTTTTATTTGAGGGTTGCTTTTGAATGAAGAGTGTTCAAAGGTGGCCGAGAACATGCACAGCATAATACCTATTTATTTGGTTGAGTAAATACAGGGTGTTTTCATAAAAATACAAAGTAAAATAATTTTTTTTTGTGTTTTTATGAAACACCCTGTAATGTATTATGCATCTATTGGCATGCTTTAACTAACAACAACAACAAAATAACCACAGACACACGAGCATGTCTACTTTTTTATTTTACTCAATATACAATATATACACTTGATGAAAAAGGGGTTGGGTACAGTAAACACCGCTTTGACTTTTTTTATTGATTGGTTTCTTGCTTGGTGTAGTGGTTGTGACCTTGTTTGATTTTCTACTAACTTGATTCAGAAATTTCAGGTGAAAATAATATACAGTGAAGGAGGAATCGTGGTGCTTTTTGATTTTTATCAATGACATTGACCTAAAAAATTTAAATTTCCCGCGCGATTTTACATGAATGGTCGATAGGCGGCGCCATTGCGCTTTGATTTTAAGGCGCGAAATTTGAATCTTCTTGACTGGCGGTTGGCAATTATTTATTGTTGTTTTTTTGTTTGTTTTGAGAAAATATTTTGTGAAGGTTGGAATAATTTGGTGGGTTGGCAATCATGAGTTTTAATTTTTTCAAGACATTGGTAAAAAATGTTTGTTTGCTATCGTAGTGCTTTTTACTTTTTGTTGTTGGCTATACGCAAAGTAATAAATAGAAAAACAAAATCTAGTCGGTACTTGTCAATTTGTTATTGTCCGATTTACGGTTTGGGGTAATTTATTATTGTTTTTGTTTTTTGTTTTTGGTAACACTGATTTCTCACGAAGCGTTAACTTTTAAGGATTGCATATTTTTGTTTTGAGAAAATGGTTGGCTGTGAAAGTTGGAGTAATTTGTTGCGTTGGCAATTATGAAATTAGCAATTATGGTATTTTTTGCTGTTGGCGGTGATTTTTATTTTTTGTTGTTGGCGGTGATTTTTATTTTTTGTTGTTGGCTATATGCAAAATAATAATTAAAAAAAACAAAATCTAGGCGGTTTTTGTTAATTTTATTGTTATTTTAACGTTTGGGATTGTTTATTACTGTTTTTTGCTTTTGGTAACACTGATTTTAATGGTATTTTTATTTTGGAAAAGTGGTTGGCTGTAAAAATTGGAATAATTTTAAGAGTAATTCTTCGATCGGTGAGGTGAATTGGCAACCATGAAATTCAAATTTTGTCAAGGCATTGGTAAAGAAATGTTGTTTTTTTGCTGTCAGAGTAGTGATTTTTACATTTTGATGTTGGCAATTCCCCGATATGGCAACACTGCTTTCCTGCGAGTAATTTCGAGATCGGTGGTGAGAAATTACATTTTTTTGTCTCTGAAATTTGTTTACTATCGGTAGTGAGTTTTATTTTTTGTTGTTGGCAATACGTAAAAAATAAATAAAAACTAAAAATCTAATCGGTTGTTGTCATAAAATTGACATGAAATACACATTTTCACTTAAAATTCGACACAATTTCCAAATATATGGGGTGTTTAAAAAAGTGTTCCATTGGAAAGGAGTATAATATATAATAATGTCACTTGTTTAGTTTTCGGCGGGAAATTTAAAAATTTGTCAGTAACTTCTGATATACTAAATATACAAGGTGTTTAAAATAACTCCTGTTTAGACCTAGAATGAACATTTTTAAAGTTTACACATTAAATTTAAAATAAAACTAAAATATTTGAACTTAAAATCTACAGAGTGTTCATAAGAATTGTTTATTTATATTCTTCTCTGTAAATGTATTTTTTGGCGAAAATATGAATTTTTTGAGTCACTTGTTTAGTTTTTGGCGGGAAATTTAAAAATTTAGCATTAACATATACTAAATATACAGGGTGTTTAAAATAACTCCAGTTTAAACCTAGAATGAACATTTTTTAAGTTTACACATTAAATCTGTAATAAAACTAAAACATTTGAACTTAAAGTCTACAGAGTGTTCATAAGAATTGTCTATTATTATCTCTGTAAATATAATTTTTGGCGGGAAATTGAATTACTGTTTTGATAAGAAATGATAAACACAAATTTGACAACACATTATAATATTGACTTAAATGGTGACATACTTTTAATATACAGGGTGTTTGATTTAACTACAACTAAATATTATCGAATTTATTATTTTAAATTTGACAGCAAATATTTAGCTTTGCGAAATATACAAGGTGTTTTAAAATCAAATGTTGCTAGAAGCATTTGATTTGACGTTCGGCGGGAAATTTAAAAATTTAATTTTTTAAATTTTAATTTTTTTTACTTTTGATGGTCAAAAATACAGGGTGTTTAAATTAGAATGAGTGTTTTATAAGCAATGTTTATATCTCTTTCTAAGTTTTTGCTTTTTTGGAAAAAAATATTATACAGGGTGTTTGAAAGAACTGTAGAATAAATATTTAAATATTTTATTAAAATGCGTTGACTTGAATTATGACATACGTATATACAGGGTGCGTCAGAACAGAAAAATGCCATAAAGTAAGATACCAGGAACATGGAAAATATGTTAACAAAAAATTATCTATAAAAATTTCGAAATTATGAGAGTTTAAATTTTGCACTTTGACTCTATTTATTTCTGTTGGAAAAATAATTTTCAAATTTTTTTGCTACAGGCTATTATAAAAAAAATGTAACTCTGTTATTTGTGGCTTTTATTGGCAAAATTTTTGTACTTTTACTAAATAATTGTAAAAAAACATAATATACAAGATCACCAGTATCATTAATAGACATAAAAAATGTCAACTGTCAAAAAATAAATGTCAAAATTTTTTGGCAAATAGAATTTTTTAAACATTTTTTCCATGTTTCTGGTATCTTATCTTACTTTTATTTTTCCTGGGGCGTGAGTTCCGGTGCACTCTGTATATTATGACATATTTCTAAAGTACACACGGAGTTTTAAATCTACAGGGCGTTTTAACAAATATTTCAGTGTTTATACCGGTTGACTATAAATGACTGATTTTTATCGGCAAATTTGGCAACCATGACGGTCAAATATAAACGTCAAAGTTTGATAGGCAACTGTCACTCATTTTTGAGAGGAGGTGGCCGACAGACTAAAAGAATTACTAATTCAATTCAGTGTTGCCAATAGACTTTCAATCACTCGGTATAATTTCGTTTTTGGCGGGAAGTTTAAATGAAATAACTTACTTTAAACTTGAAACGTAGAAGGATTACCAATAATTCAGTGCTGCCAATAGATTTTTTGTCACAATTACTTGGCGGGAAGTTTAAATTAAAAAAATTATATGCTGTATGAGAAAAATTATTGAAACTTGAAACGTCATATACTGAGTGTTCTAGACTACTAATTACTAATAATTCAGTGCTGCCAATAGACTTTTTTGTCACAA